GCGAGAATGTAGTCGCACCGCTCTGGTAAAAACCAGAGTTAGAACTTTATTTAGTTATGAGCGTTATAGAATTTTGTTAAGATTAAAATGCATCTCTCAGCTCACTGATTCTTTCTTAACTTAAACTATTTGATTTGTAATTAATAATTTAAATTCAGTTTATATTATACAGTAATTTGCATCATTAGTTCACTGCGTTAAAAACCTTCTATATCGTTATGGGATAATTATTTAAAGTTATATTTATATAACTGGTTATATATATTTTTATGTCCAAATTAATATTGTAACTCACATGACACTGCTGTTGTTCCTCAGACAATAATTCTGGTAGCGGCGGTGATCATGGCCGTGACGGCAAGACCAGAGGGCGGCTATGGCGGACAGGGGACAGGCGGACCAGGGTCTGGCGGACCAGTATCTGGTGGACTGGGGTCTGGCGGCCTCGGGTCTGGCGGATTGGGATCTGGGGGACAAGGGACCACCGGCCTAGGAGTTGGGGGACCAGGGATTCAGGCTCGATATGTGCCCGCAACATCTGGAGGACAGGGAGGCCAGTACGGCGCCGCCCCCGCCAAGTACAACTTCCAATGGGACGTCAACGACCAGCCTTCAGGCAACTTCTACGGTCACGGAGAGCAGAGGGACGGAGACAACACCCAGGGCAGTTATTATGTCCAGCTGCCTGACAGTCGTCAACTGAAGGTTGAATATTTCGTTGATCAGTTCGGTTACCACCCCACCGTCACCTTCGAGGGCGATGCCCAGTACCCCAGCGGTTCCAGTCAAGGTACCGGGTCACAGAAGGGCTACTACCAGTAGCAGACCTCCACAGATCCTCAGCTGCTCTGTTAAGACCGGCAGGCCCGGGTCTCAACACGGCTATCAGTGACCAGCTTATCACACCTCTCAGTTGCTGCTTCAGATCTCAGCTCAAGTGAGACACTTCTCGAGACTGCGAGACGCCTGCGACCTCGACATTATGTCTCCCTACGCTTTTGTTTTTCATTTATCTGTTACTTTGTGCTTAAGGTTTTTAAATAATATAAAATAAAGCAAAAAAACTCCAGGATTTCTGCTTATTTATTTTCATTATACAAATATTTAAAGTTTTAAAAGTTGTAAATCATAAAGAAGAATGAAGAATGATTTTAGACCAATTTAGTGTTTTCTGTAGTTACCAACACATACATTTTAGTTCTTCGTTAGAACAAAAGAAAACGTAATACCGGCATAAACTTACAAGATTACAGGAAATTCAAGTGGCATACCCACAAATTGGAACGCAAATTAAATGAATGTAAAATTTATATATTCAAGGTCTAATAAAAATAATTTTGCTAATTATTTTTTTTCAGTTTTTTCTTCATTTTAAATTTTACTAAATAATCTCTTACAATTGTTTTATTCATAATATTTTCGTAATTGAACATAGAGTCAAACGCTCTTCCCAATTAATTGATCTAAAGAATGAGATTATTTGGTGTGGTTTTCACAATATAGTTTTCCACACCCTGAGCACCTTGCCACACATTTGGTGTCCTGCTTCGGTTGTTTTGTTTCATTTGCAATGCCAAGTTGTCAAGCTGAAGTTGCAATGTTTCAGTTGTCAAGTTTAGCTGTCACACACCAGTTGGAAATTTCACTTCTAACGCTTCTGTTAACAAACTTCTGTAACAGAACAATAATGAAGATTTTTCGTAATTAAAGGTAACTTCGAATTCAGATATAATGATCATATAATTAAGTAAATAGCTCTCGCAAGGTGGTTGACGGTGGCGATTTTATGACCACTGATTCATCTTTGCAATGAATGTAAAAAGTAGATGTGTTACTTTGCCCCCATCATCCACCTGCTGATGGGGACAAGGGCTCCAGATTCCCCCCCCCTCCAAAAAAAAAATGCTTTAAATAAAAACTAGTTCGATTTCAATCAAACTTTTGTGACTAGTTGTATATGAAAAGGGTTTCATCTGGTCCAGGTCTCAGCATCGTAGCATAAATAGGAAGGGAGATAAAAATAGTGAAGTAGGTGTCAAAAATTTTCCAAAATGGTCAAAAACGATTATCAGACAAAAGAGTCAACTGATATCATATCTATGACTCTCAGCTATCACAATAGCATATATCAACAAAATATTATAATTAGTTTTATTGGAAAAATAATTAAGTTACAAAAAATTGATATATATATCTATATTTTTTTTTTCATTTTGTTTTTTATCGGACGATTTGCATGAAACTTATACACCTGACTGCACATAAGCCTATCTGTAAGGGTGCCAATTTTTGAGAAAACTGGTTGATGTCAACCTCAGCCACAGATGGCAGCACCTTTGGACATTATTACTTATTTATTTACAATATTTTTAACTAACATAAACGTTCAAATACCTCTTTTATTATTTATTCAGTTTACTTGAAACTTACACCTTATATGTAAGGTTTATGTCTCTAAAATCCCTAGGTAGCGTTTTTTCTTACGTTCATTTATTGATTTTATAATAGCAATAAACATGACATATTTGCATAATTTTGGGGGGAAAACTTTGAATATTTGTATTAGGAAAACTAAAGATGTTTTGGAAACTCCCTACCTCCGGATTCTTTATTATATGCCAATGTGTCAGAAAAGTGTCATAGAATAATTATATCTGAAAGGTGTGTTTGTTTATTTACATTTGAAAATGTCTAAAATTCGATGAAAAAAATAAAAAATAAAATATCTCCCTTTCTATTTACGCTGCAGTACTGAAACTTGGAACAATTGCAGCCCTTTTCATATACAACTAGTCTAAAAATATTGGTTGACATCGAACAACTTTTATGAAACCATGCCAATGCCCCCTTTATAAACATTATTATTATAGTCTATTTATCACTATTATATGCAGAACCTCCAGTTACCTTGGGGTTCTCCATAACACCGGTTGAGAAATGGTGCTTTCTCAACCGGTGATGAGTTTACTGTTTCTCTCTAGTGTCAAGCCATCAGATCATTAACATATATCCCTCCACACATTGGTCTGCATGGTGTAGCATTAGATCAGACTCTAGTGTTTTTTGAAGTTTAAATATTTGAAATTCATATTAAGATGAGCTTCACTATACTCTCTGATATTATTCGTGCCCAGAAAAAAGTATTGAATATTCTGAAAGGAATGACAATACCATGTATCTGTTATTATTACCTCAGTAGTAAAACTTTATACAGTATATAAGTTGTGAATTTTCTCATAAGCTGCATATTTCTGTTCCTAAAGCTCGAACATAATTTTCCACGCTCCACAACCCATGGCTAGTACGAGCCACGCTCCATAACCCATAGCCAGCATGGTTCAGTGACTTTACAACCAATGACCAGCATACCTATAATATCTTTATCAAACGAGAAAGAGTCCCAACAGTCTATCTACTAATATAGTCTACTCTCGTGTCAGTGATTCACTAGACTCTTGTGAGCACCTAGTGCTTTCATCTACCAAAACAGTTAATAACAGAATGACTCGGTTTTGTTAATTTAGTTGTAATTGAATAGCCTGACGCATACCCAGAATGTTTCTGTGTTGAATTTCGCACTGATATTCTTATATCCTGACACACGATGGAACTAAGAAGTTAGCCAATGTTGGTGTTCTAAAATTTTGTTGATTGCAGCCTAAGATTGCCTACACGTAGTCCTTTATTATGTAGCCTGCAGTATTTTTTCATTTTGTAGCTAAATGTATCAATTATATTTGCAGATTTTTGTATTTCTTCAATTTGTGGACTAATATAGCTCTTCTCGCTTCATTTTGTACACTAATATAGCCCTTGTCCCTTCATTCTTTTTACGAATGTACCCCTCTCTCCTCGTTTTATGAACTAATGTAGCCCCCCTTTTCCTTCATTTTATAGATTAATGTAGTCCTTCCCCCTTCATTTTAAAGCCTAATGTAGCCCTTTTCCCTTCATTTTATTGACGAATGCAGCCCTTCTTTCTTCATTTTATTGACTAATGTAGGCCTTCTCCTTTCTTTTAAAGACTAAGGTAGCCCATCATTTTATGCGCTAATGTTGCACTTCAATTATAGACTAATATAACCCTTCATCCCTCATTTTTGTTGATGAATGAGTTAGTCAGCCAATGGTTCCTTTCCACCTTCAGGTGAGTAAGTAATTATCAAAAGAAGGCATAAACGCCAGCGACCTTCAGGTGAGCTGGCGACACTCTTCTCCTCTATTAGTTTTGAATATAATAAAGTTACTAAAACAATTAATGATTAACTTAACCCCACACATGACCCCACTCTGGACACGTCCAGAGGACGGCGGGTCACAGCACAACACAACATGACGAGAGGCAGATATGGTCATCTCTGCTACTAACTCAGGCTCCACACTCAACTCAGTTGTGTAACACTAAAATAAGAATGAATACATTTCCTTATATAAAACAAACAGGTTGGCATGTTTTGTATAATTTCACGGCATCACGGAGGAGGACCCCGCCCTCAGGTCTCCGTGTTGGTCAGTCATATAAAGCCTGGAGCTCCTGGACGGTCACCAGTTGAGCTCACACCTCCACAAGCGACACAACCATGAAGGTATACTTGTCCGTGTAACATAACTTGAATCGCGGCATTGCAAGTGACTGGTGACAATGGCGAGAATGTAGTCGCACCGCTCTGGTAAAAACCAGAGTTAAAACTTTATTTAGTTCATGAGCGTTATAGAATTTTGTTAAGATTAAAATGCATCTCTCAGCTCACTGATTCTTTCTTAACATAAACTATTTGATTTGTAATTAATAATTTAAATTCAGTTTATATTATATTATATAGTAATTTGCATCATTAGTTCACTGCGCTAAAAACCTTCTATATCGTTATGGAATAATTATTTAAAGTTATATTTATATAACTAGTTATATATAGATATTTTTATGTCCAAATTAATATTGTAACTCACATAACTCTGCTGTTGTTCCTCAGACAATAATTCTGGTAGTGGCGGTGATCATGGCCGTGACGGCAAGACCAGAGGGCGGCTATGGCGGACAGGGGACTGGCGGACGAGTGTCCGCCGGATCTGGTGGACTGGGGTCTGGCGGCCTCGGGTCTGGCGGATTGGGATCTGGGGGACAAGGGTCCAACAGCCTAGGAGTTGGGGGACCTGGAATTCAGGCTCGGTATGTCCCCGCAACATCTGGAGGACAGGGAGGCCAGTACGGCTCCGCCCCCGCCAAGTACAACTTCCAGTGGGACGTCAACGACCAGCCATCAGGCAACTTCTACGGTCACGGAGAGCAGAGGGACGGAGACAACACCCAGGGCAGTTATTATGTCCAGCTGCCTGACAGTCGTCAACTGAAGGTTGAATACTTCGTTGATCAGTTCGGTTACCACCCCACCGTCACCTTCGAGGGCGATGCCCAGTACCCCAGCGGGTCACAGAAGGGCTACTACCAGTAGCAGACAAGAAGTGGTCTGTTAAGACCGGCAGGCCCGGGTCTCAACACGGCTATCATCAGTGACCAGCTTATCATACCTTTCAGTTGTTGCTTCAGATTTAACTCAAGTGAGACACTTCTCGAGACCCCGAGACGCCTGCGACCTCAACATTATGTCTCCCTACGCTTTTGTTTTTCATTTATCTGTTACTTTGTGCTTAAAGTTTTTAAATAATATAAAATAAAGCAAAAAAATCAAGGATTTCTGCTTATTTATTTACATATATGAAGTTTTAAAAGTTGTAAATCATAATATGAATTACGAACACAGGTTTATTTTTGGACATACGTAGAGCAGAAGAAGAAAGTAGAGACAGCAAGACAATGTTTTCGATTTACCCCTAATGCTGAGACTTGCACTAATTGAACATTTTATTTGTTTTAAATCAAATTCAGTCTTAAAGTTTCATTCTGATAATTAATTTCTAACTGTATAAATGAAATCATCCATCAAGGTCTTCAAAATCACAATGTGATAATTATTTACCGCCTCTAGCATTGAAGTAACTTATCACAGTCAATAAAATGTAATTCGGATAATTCCTTGCTAATTCTGGCATTGAAATTACTCTTCACAGTTTTTAAACCAGCGTTTCTTGTACCCTTGAAATAATTCTGGGGAGTTCTTTAGATAGATACAAAATAATTTAATTATCCCCTGAAAACAGACGATTTATGTCTTTGCTTTTGATACTGGTTAAATGAGAAAAATTAAGCAAAAAATGACTCAAACGTGCAGTTGAATATGATTAGAATTTTTGGCCGAAACGCTGTGCGTATGAGTGGCTTTAGGTATAGTATGTACTAGCTTTATCTAGAAATCCAAAATTCTGTTTGTAACTCATTTTGAATGTATGTACTTTTACCTGCATAAACATTATTATTATTATTATTATTATTATGGTCTATCTATCACTATTTATGTAGAACCCCCAGTTACCTTGGGGGTTCTCTATAACCCCGGTTGAGAAATGGTGCTTTAAATAGTTTACTGTTTCTCTCTAGTGTCGAGCCATCAGATCATTAACATATATCCCGCTGCACCTTGATCTGCATGGTGTAGCATTAGATCAGACTCTTGTGTTTTTTTTTAAGTTTAAATATTTGAAATATATATTAAAACGAGCTTCACTATACTCTGATATTATTCATGCCTAGGCAAGGCATCTGATATTCTATAAGGGATGAAATACCTCAAATACCATATATGTTATTATTATTACCTCGGTAGTAAATATAAATATAACTATCAGTTGTGAATTTTCTCAAAAGTTGCAGATTTCTGTTCCCAAGGCTCACACCTAATTTTGCTTGTCCAGGATCCACGAGTCAATCCCATCTAACAGATCAACTGCAATACATAATCATCTTTAAAGGTTAATAATAGACTGTGTGCTCCATTACACGAGTCAGACGCATTAGTTAATAGTTTATACATCAGTGGGTTTGGGTGTGTGGCTGCGGGTGGTTTTTCCTGTTCCTTCGCGTTCCGGTGTTTGTTCTGGTGTGTGTAGCTGTGGTTTTTTTTTCTTTACTGTATCCTATGGGTATGGTATGTGGGCCTGCGGGCCGCTCCAAGCAACAGCCTAGTGGACCAAACTCTCACAAGTCAAGCCTGGCCTCGGGCTGGGCTTGGGGAGTAGAAGAACTCCCAGAACCCCATCAAGCAGGTAACCAGGTATCCTGTATTTTCTCCTTGTATCTCTTGTGGTTCCTTTCCTGTCAAAGTTCTGTTTTTCCGCCTCCCGGTTCCTGTGTGTTCCTGTTCTGTGTTTGTGTGCATTGGTTTTTGTGTGGAACTTCTGACTTGTTTTGTTTTATGTGTTAATTTGTTCATTGCTTCTTGCTGTACTTATTGTTTATTTCCGTTTGTGTTTCTGTTCTGTGTGCTGTACAAGGTTCTGGGTTATGTGTGTTATGTGTTTTTCAAATTTCTGTCTGTTTCAATGCTATTTGTTTGTAAATTTTGTCCTGTCTTTATTTGTACTAAATTGTGTTTATTTTATATAAAAAAAAAGTTGATACATCATGCTTTTGTGGGTCAAATTGTCTGAGTTGCAAGTGGGACGTTAATGATGCGACAAGACAATTAGGGAAAGGTAGGCTAGTTGTTGAACAAAGGGTTACATAGAACAAGTCACAACGCCACAAACACACGCCATACAACGTCAACTAATCGGCAGGTTCCAAACACCATAACCACTGGCTACCATGGGCAACGCTCAACAAGCCATACGTAGCATGGGTCACACTCCACAGCCCATGACCAGAATGGGGCACACTCTACAACCCATGACAAAATAGGCCCCACTCTACAACTCATGACCAGCATGCCAATAATATCTTTATCAAACGAGAAAGAGTCCCAACAGTCTATCTACTAATATAGTCTAGTGAATCACTGACTCTTTCTTGTCAGTGATTCACTAGACTGTTGTCAGCACCTCGTACTTTCATTTACTAAAACAATTAATAACAGAATGACTCGGTTTTATGTTAATATTAATTCTAATTGAGCATCCTGACGCATACACAGAATTTTTCTGTGTTGATTTTCTCACTGATTTTCTGATATCCAGACGCATGATGGAACTAAGAAGTTAGTTAATGTTGGTGTTCTTAATTTTGTTGATTGCAGCCTAAGATTGCCTACAAGCAGTCCTTCATTATGTAGCCTGTATTATTTTTTTTAAATTTTGTAACTAATGGTATCAATTATATTTGGAGACTAATGTGTCTGTTCAATTTGTGGACTAATATACCACTTCTCGCTTCATTTTGTACACTAATATAGCCCTTGCCCCTTCATATTTTTGACTAATGTATCCCTTCTCTTCCTTTTATGAACTAATGTAGCCCCTTTTCCATTATTTTATAGTTTCATTTAGCCCTTCTCCTCTCATTTTATAGACTAATGCAGCCGTTCATTGTATAGACTAATGTAGGCCTTCTTTCTTCTCTTATAGACAAATGTGGACCTTCATTTTATACACTAATGTTGCCCTTCATTTAATAGACTAATATAGCCCTTCATCTCTCATTTTTGTTGATGGATGAGTTTGTCAGCCAGTGGTCCCTTTCTACCTTCAGGTGAGTGTTATAAATGATATGAGTGGGGCTTCTATGGGGTACTGGTACTATTAAGGGGTATAGGTAGTTAGAAGACAGGAGTATCAAATATGGGAGAGCTAAAAGGCCCGGCCCCCAAAATAAACTATCCACAGTAGTAATAACTTGCTGCAAGACCAAATATGTTAGTCTAAGGGTTGATCACTGCGCTCCCACCTTGGAAGAAGAGATACTCTGTAATTCATGTACTTATTTATTAACCCGTTAACAACCCCCCATATACACTCACACCAATAACAATAATAATAATAACTTTACCACACTATCTTACGTTAAAAGCCTTGGTCCACGTAGGCAGGATACAAGGTTTACACTAATAACAAGCTAGGGTAAAGTACTACTGGATAAGCACTGAAGCTGGATGCAGCTTAGGGTAGTGAAACCACGTGGGACCCTAATACAAAACACAACACTTAGGGGTACCCAAACACTGGCAAAATACTATCCCCAGGTCTCACCAATCGTTACTACCAGAGTAGGCACACTCACTAATGCCCTGTACTTAGCTTAAGGATACAGGAACTTCAGGTAAGGGAAATAAGTAAGAGGAGAAGGAAGGAGAGTAGGGGAGCAGCCACAGAGTAGGTCTATACCGCACCACACCAGCCAGAGAAGACCGAGCTAGCCACCAGCTGCCTCCCTCATGTTGTGGTGCCGGGAGGAGCCTAATTGATCGTGCAGCTAAGCACATTAAAGATCTTCCCCTATGCAACGTATTGTTACTTTATGAATGATTAGAAAGTATTAGTAAGCAAAGTTGGTGCCTATGTTATTATTTAATAATCAACCCCCAGCTCAGTCTTTAAATGCTCTTTGAGAAACAATAATAGTCTTACGTCTGGCAGGGAAGATACAAACAATTGACATTCTAGATGCCCAACTGTGCTACCAGGAAGTTTAATAGCTCAATTTTGACCTCTGGTTTCCACTGGAGAACCCAGGGTCGTAACACTCCTCCCCCCTTCAGAGAAAAAAAAATGTGACTACTAGAATAGTAGTCATATTTTTTTGTAAGAGTATACAGAGAACAAAAAGAAAAACATATGACAAAAACAAAAAATCAATCAAAAGCAATTTCTCTGCAAAAAAAATACAAAGGAGTTCTCTGAAAGAAAAAAAAAACATACACAACAAAAATAAACGAACAGGGAAGTAAATAAATTGGACACGGAATATTTAATGTCACAGGAGAACCTAAAAAAAATTAACTAAAGCATGACGGTTGGTAAATGGCTTTCTGTGGCTCAGATGAATGTTATTCAGGCAACCGGGACAGAGCGTCGGCTATCACGTTGAGTCTGCCCGGTAGGTGGGTAATGGAAAGATTGAAGTCCTGTAGGTACAACGCCCACCTGAGGATGCGTTTATTCTTACCCTTCATCTGAGTCAGGAAAACTAGTGGGTTATGGTCCGTGTACACTTCCACTATATTACCTGTGAGGTAAACTTCGAACTTTTTACATGTTAACACTAGCGCCAACGCCTCTTTTTCTACCACTGAATAATTGCGTTGCGCCTTGTCGAATTTCACAGAGTAATAATATACTGGGTGTTCCACCTGATCATCCCCAGTTTGCAACAACACTGCACCAGCACCCGAGTCAGACGCGTCAACATGAATTTTAAACGGTCGGTCGAACCTTGGACTAGCAAGCACTGGGGCGGAAGCTAAGATCAATTTCAAATTTTTAAATGCCTCTGCACAGTTTGATGACCACTTAAATTTAACGGCTTTCCGCAACAAGTCTGTGAGAGGAGTGGCAACACTGGAAAAGTTCTGACAAAAACGTCGATAGTACGCACACATACCGATAAATCTTTGAACGTCCTTTT